CAACAAATTTTGTTGGCGCTGCTGCAAGACTTGCAGAGTTTAAGCAAGCCGCATTGGATTCAGAGGCGATCAGCCAAATAAGACACTACAGCGCTTGCAAGGGCTTTGAGTTTCACTTCAACCCATCTCGAGCGCCACATTTTGGTGGGCTTTGGGAGGCCACAGTCAAATCAGCAAAGGCATTATTGATTAAAAACATGAGCGAAGCTAATTTGACTTTTGAAGAGCTGCAAACTCTGCTAACCGAAGTGGAAGCCATACTTAACTCACGGCCAATTGCTCCACAATCAGATGATCCCAACGACGGATGTGCTTTGACACCAGCCCATTTGATAGTCGGATCTTCGCTACTTACAGCTCCCGAAGAACTATTATACAAGCCAGAGTCTTCCACTCATCTTCGTTACCTCGACCGCTGGCAAAAGGTGACTTTCTTAAAACAACAATTCTGGCAAATGTGGTACCGCGATTATATCCACACACTACAACGTCGATCCAAATGGACTTCAAACCAGGCAAACATTCGTGAAGGACAACTTGTGATTGTCCATGAAGACAATACACCTTCTCAAATATGGATCCTTGCTCGCGTGACCGCAGCCATCGCTGGAAAGGATGGAAAGGTCCGAGTAGTCGATCTCCAGACTAGCAAGGGTACGCTACGCCACCCAATCCACAAACTAGCACCACTGCCCCTCGATTAGTTTAAAGGAATCTAGATCCTTTCAACGGGGGGAGGATGTTGGAGGAGAATCGACCATATTAGCATAATTATTTTGTTTAATTTAAATTTCACATTTGCTGTTGAAAACTATGTAAGCTTTCTGGCAACATTATTAATTACAAAATGCACCCCTGTAATGAGAAAGCGGAGTGACTGGATATAATATACTTTCGCTCTCTCACTTCGCTTGCAGCCATAAAAGAAGATACATGTATGAATAAAGAAACCCACTGAAGTTAAATCGTGCGCGCTACAATCAATCCGTCGCATTTGCAAAATAAGAAAGAGGATTTAGGAACACTTACGTCCATTGGAGTATCATTGCGAAACGCAATTCCATCCAAAGGCAGGTCTGGAAACAATGTGTATGTATCTACATTTTCATTTCTTCTATGCATGATGGGCCATGGCCCGCACATTTATATCCTCATTCAGAGTGTGCTTGCGACCAGTGACGGGCGGCAGAGGCAGAACAGCACATGTGCGGGATGTGAAGGCATTAGGTTCATACGCACCAACGCCGACGAGGGCAGCGACAGCGGCGAAACGACGAGCGCGGTGATGCATCCGCAGCAGCCGCAGCCACAACAACATAACGACAGCGGCGTTGATGTGGACGGCAGATGCATACCACTGGTACATAATCAGCCGACGCGTACTGCAGGTCGTCTATCATCAGCAGCAATTAGAGGCAGGTCGAGCGAGCTCCGACTAAGAGAAATATTTATTAATTTCGGCGCGGGATGCAGCACGTTGCCCAGAAATTACCAAAAATATTCCGCGCACCGGAATTTGAATTCGAACACGCGGCGAAAAGGGCGAACTACCAGAGTGAAGGGTTGCTATCGACAACAAAGCGACAGGATGGCAGCGCTAGAGGCTGGCTGTTAAAAAAAAGGTAAAAGAGATAAAAGATGGACGTAAAGATAAGGGCTTTGAAGTCAAAATGGCAATGAACATAATAAATAGAAATAAAATTCCCCAACCAATGTTCAAGGTAGAACTGACGCCTGACTGTATGCCTATAAGTAAAAGTTAAAATCACCCAATTTACAAGATACAATATCTATTACACCGTAGAATCACCGTTGAGGAACCGCACAAACGAAATGGACGTGCCCAATGCACAAACTATCAGGAATATGGACACACAAAAACCTATTGCACCCTAACCGCAGTCTGTGTTGCCTACGGGGATGTACCTGCCCTGTAAATAAGGAGGACTCCTCAGCGAAAAAATGTAGCAACTGTGGGTGAAACCACACTGCCAACTTTAGAGGTTGCCCTGCCTAAAAGGAATTAAAAAGTCGCATAAGCCTGCAAAAATCCGCAGCTCGAAACTCAGTCATCCGACAAAATTGCTGTACTTACCATCAACTACGATTCCAGGAGTATCTTTCGCTAAGACGTTAAGTTAAAACCAACGAGTGGTACGTCTCAGTCTCTCAACAAACCACTGCAGGAATAATGAATCCCATCTGGCAACTCTAACAAATACAATGGTAACAATACAACAAACGATGCAGGAAATTATGCACAATCAAAATCTCGTCCTGGAACTACTAATCAAACAGAAATCTACTTAAATGGCTTCACTAAAAATATGTTTTTGGAATGCGAATAGCATTTCACGGCACAAATACGAGCTCTTGCAATTCTTCAATCAACACGACATTGACGCCATGCTCATATCAGAGACTCACCTAACAAACACAAATTATTTTCATCTCAAGGGCTACAACTTCTATACGACCAATCATTCCGATGGTAAGGCTCATGGAGGTACTGGTATCCTGATAAAGCGTCACATAAGGCACTATCCGTTGCCTTCATTTGCCTCAACTTATCTACAGGCCACAGCAATTAATATCGAAACACAAAGCGGCTATTTAAGCCTACTCGCAGTATACTGTCCATCGCGCTTCTCCGTTTTCTGAGGCAGAATTTGTACATTTCTTCGACCTACTAGGTGACCGCTTCATAGCAGCTGGTGACTACAATGCCAAACACACACATTGGGGATCCCGACTCATCAACCCAAAAGGAAGACAACTGTATAACGCTATAATAACACCACGAAACAAGCTTGACTTTATTTCTCCGGGCGGGCCCACATATTGGCCCACAGATCCAAAGAAGCAACCAGACTTGATTGATTTTTCTGTTACCACAGACTCAGATTTGTGTGGAGCACTTAACAGATCTATCATCGGATCACTCGCCAATCCTTGTTCACCTTTCTGGCCACACACAGTACTCGGAGCGCCCACACTTAACTTCTAGAAAAACTGACTAGTTTAATTACAGGAAGTATGTAAGTTCCCATATTGATGGCAGCCCAAACACATACTGCAAAGGCGACATTGATACAGTTGAAGCATTAGAGTCTGTGATGTCACTGGCGGCAAAACATTCCACTCCAGAAATCACAGATATTACGTTACAAAAGCAGTTGTGTTCCCAGGCATATTGAAGAGCTGCTACGAAATAAGAGAAGGCTTCGGCGGGAGTGGCAAGTGCACAGATCACCTGACTCAAAGGAGCGGTTAAAAATAGTCAACCATCTACTACGCATATCCCTAGAAGATGAGAAACACCGAGCTCAAATGGAATATATGGAGGAACTCTCCCCAAACAGCAAACGATTCCCATTGTGGAAAGCCAAATCAGATGTATGTCCACCAATCGAGAGTAAATCACTATTACGTACACAAAGAGGAAAGTGGGCTCGCATCAACAAAGAGAAGGCAAATCTATTTGCCGCTCATTTAGAAAAAGTCTTTAAACCACATCCAGCAACAAATAGCTTTGTGCTCCCACTACCCAATCATCTTGAAGCTACCACGCCTATCGTATTCCAAGCAAGAGAATTTCCAAGTGTCGTTAAGGGCCAAGTTTCAAAGCAAAAAAAGGCCACGATTTAAAGTCGGAAAGGACAAGTCTCAGCCATAATATATAGACCCATCAGTCTCCTGCCGTGCCTATCGAAGATATTCGAAAAACTACTCCTGATTCGCATCAAGCAGCACGTACAGGGTGCGCCATCTTTTATGTCGGTATGCAAACATTGAATATCCTTGAAAATAAACAACCGATTTTCAAGTATGAGATATTTTTATTTAATTTGGTTCTGTACAATTTCTTGAACTGAGGTTTTTCAAACTGGTCTACTCAAGTCAATCGGTTCACTAATGACAAAGTTATTCAATATCTACATACCGACATAAAAGATGGCGCACCCTGTACATACCAACAGTGCAATCCTAATTTGGTTTTCGCGAAAAACATGGAACCATTGAACAAGTCAACCGAATAACCTCTGAGATACGAAATGCATTTGAAAAACGAGAGTATTGCTGCGCTGTTTTTCTGAATGTCGCCAGAGACTTTGACCGCGTTTGACTGGATGGCTTAGTTCACAAAATCAAAATATTACTTCCACAGAACATCCATAAAATACTGGAGTTATACCTTCAGTAAAGAAATTTTTAGTTAGTTGCAAAGTTAGATGCAAAGATTTCCTCTCCCAATAACATCCAATTGAAGCTGGTCTACCCCAAGGGAGCGTGCTTGGACCGACACTGTATATCATATACACAGCAGATATACCGACAAACACTCATACTACAATTTCGACCTTTGCTGATAATACTGCCATCCTAAGTCGCTCCAAGTGCCCAACAAGAGCTACAGAACTCTTATCATCTCACCTCGTGGCCATAGAAGAATGACTAGCAAACTGGCGCATACATGTAAACGAGCAAAAGTGCAAACCTTTACCCTAAACAAACAAAACTGTCCTCCATTGTCGCTAAAAAATATCAATATTCCACAAAAAACCGATGTAACATACTGTAAAAAATATATTACTGTTTTATGCCCGGAACTCAAATAAGAGCGACTGTATGCTGCGTGTGTTCCTTTATTACTAGTTTTATATGTACAATGGATATATGTATTAGTTATTATTCGTGTGTATGAGTATAAGAGTAAGGTTTACAAGGTAGAACGTTTGAAATGAAACGATTAGTTCTTGTGTGCTTATTTTAGGGTATTTTGTTAGTAAATTTTCACATCCTCGGCCCCGGCAAGCTCGATTGGATTTCCAAAGGGTAGAGAAGTTGAACAGGCCGGCGCAGGATTTGTTGATTCTTTGATCTGATGTCGCAAGCTCTAGTTCTTCCATCTCGTCCAGTGTATGTTTTGACTACTACACCAAGTTTCCATAGTAGTCGCGCCTGATTATCATCGTGCACCAGTACGACGTCACCTTCAGTTAAGCTTCGACTCGGTTTTGACCTGTTAAAATAAAGAGTTCGTAATTGAGCGAGGTATTCCTCGCGCCAACGCTTTATGTAGCGCTGCATCAAATTGGTTCTGTGGTGCCACATTTGCGCCAAATTGCTTCCACCTGTCGTGAAGCCTTCGCCACCTAGTAGTTTGGCCTCTCCCATAAAGTGGGCTGGTGTGAGAGGCTCTAAATCGTTAGAGTCAGTGGTGATGTACGTAAGAGGTCTTTGGTTAACTACGCATTCCACTTCGGTGAGCAGTATCTCCAAGTTTGTTTTGCTAAGGCTAGCTTTTCCAATGGCAGCTCTTAGGCAGCCTTTTACAGTGCGCACAAGTCTTTCCCAGAATCCGCCCCACCAGGCTGCTCGTTCTGGGATGAACTGCCAATTTATACCTCCATTGGCCGCATATTGCTGAATCTTGCTGTTTTCCATCAACTTCTCCAGTTTCTGCAGTTCCAGGCTGGCTCTTTTGAACGTCTTTGCATTGTCGGATATTATAGTTTTGACCGGTCCTCGCCTTGCTACAAATTTACGAAGCGCACCTATGCAGCTTTCGACAGTCATATCCGCTACCAGCTCCAAATGTACACCGCGTATAGCAGCGCAAGTAAATAGCATAATGTAGACTTTACGATTGCTTGGTCCCTCTTCTGTTGCTATATAAAGCGGACCAGCAAAATCCAGTCCTGTTGTTTCGAATGCTTTGCTTGTAGTCAATTGATTCGTTGGTAGAGTTGTCCAAGGTTCGGATGCGCTCTTGCCATGTAGCCGTCTGCACACCACACACCTGCCCAGTACGTTCTTGATCAGCTGGCGCCCTTTTATTATCCAAAATCTTTTGCGAATTTGTGTTAATGTAGCGTTTATACCACAATGCATTATTCTCTGATGAGCATCTCTAATAACCAATTCTGAAAAATGTGAATTTTTCGGTAAAATTATTGGATTATATAGCGTTTCAAAATTAGGGTTGGGTAAACGCCCTGTAAGCCTCAATACTCCATCAGTCATGGCTGGACTTAAGCAGATGATCCTTGAGTCTCTTGGTAAGTCTTTGCCGGATTTCAGTGCTTCAATTTCGGGTAAGAATTCTTTTCCTTGTATAAAACGAATCCAACATAGCTCGGCTGCCTGTAGCTCTGCAAATGATAGCGCCTCGTTGATCTCGTTGTGTGTGTCTACTCCGTTAGTTGTGCGTTTTCGGAGACGTTCTATAAAACGTAACACAAAGCCGGTTACACTAAGCATTTTTCGCAGTGTGCTATATCGTTGAACAGGAAATAGTGGTTCCGCTTTGCTGCCAAGATCGTCTTCTTTCTCCCCTACGATAGTTAAAATTGTATTTATGGTTGGCCATTCGTAGATTGTCAATTCAAGCCATTTTGGGCCTCGCTTCCAAAGTTCTGATCCTAGGAGCCTTTTAGCTGTTATACCGCGTGTCAGAAGATCAGCTGGGTTGCAATTTCCTTGACAATGTCGCCACTCGTATATATTTGTGAGTTTGTTTATTTCGGCCACCATTGATTTAATTGAAGACATTGGCTGCCCGCATCCTGAAATCCAGTTTAGCACAATGCTTGAGTTCGACCACATGTAGGTCGAAGAGACGCCGAGCTTTAGCTCCTTCTTTAGATATTGAGCAAGTCTAGAGGCCACCAATGCTGCCGTAAGTTCAAGCTTCGGTAAGGCGGCTCCACTACTCTCTTTGATTGGGCTTACTCTATTTTTGGAACAAACAAATTTTATTTGTATTTCGCCATTCATCCCCACTTCTCTTAAGTAAGCGACTGCTCCATAAGCAGCAGGGCTTGCGTCTGCGAAAATGTGCTGTTCTAGGTCCTCCATATTTCCCGACACCATACACCGTTGCAGGGAAAAATCTTCAAGCAATGCCATATCCTCTCGCCAGGCCATAAACTCGTCTGATAGTCCCGTGGTGAGTGTTGCATCCCATTTTAGATTCTCCTTCCATTTTTTTTTTTGGACAAAATTTTTATGTTTATTGTAAATGGACTGAGAATGCCCAATGGATCATAAATTCTGGCCAAAGCTCGAAATACGTTGCGTTTTGTTGGACGTAGAGTCTGAACATACGTTATGATCGGTTTTAGGTCTACACTCAATTCGTCCGTTATAGTGTCCCATTGGAATCCAAGCACCTTTTGAACTGTTGCTAAATTTACATCAGTTCCTTTAAATTTCCCTTTAAGTTCTGCATCGTTAGAGTTCCATTTTCGCAAGTTAAAGCTTGCGCCTTGCATGATGATCTTTGATTGGTAGTAAAGATCCTCTGCATCCCTTAATGTAGCCACACTGGTTACCAAGTCGTCAACATAAAATGAGTCTTGCAGTTTCTGGCATATGGCTGCATGCGCCGGATCCTGCATTTGCAAGTGCTGCTGAATTGTTGACGTCAATAAAAATGGGCTGCATGTTACTCCAAATGTAACACGTGTCATTCGATACTCCGCAATTTTCGGATATGGTGTGCCAATAGATGCTACTGATGCATACCAAAAGAACCGGTGGTAATCACGATCGGATTCATCTATAGATATTTGCAGAAACGCCTTTTCGATATCCGCAACGATAGCAATTCTATGGCAACGAAATCTTATTAAAACAGCAGTTAAATCTGTTAATAAATTGATACCTGGGCTAAGATGATCATTCAATGAAGAAGCTCCATGTTCGCTGGCTGAGGCATCGAAAACAATGCGCACCTTAGTTGTCGCTTTGTCGAGCCGATAGACCGGATGATGGGGCATATAGTATGCCTTCTGGGTTTCACCCAAAACAGGCGCTGCTTCAGCCACGCCACTACTCAATAGCTCTCTGATGCCAGCATCGTATTCCTCTAATTTATCAGAATTTTTGAGCAATTTATTGCCCAAACTGCTTAGCCGATTCTTTGCATTTTGTTTGTTGTCATGCAAATTGTCCTTTGGAAGCTTCCATGGTAAGAGCACTGAGTAGCGCCCGTCTATATGGCGTATTTCGGCTGCCTGTACTGCAGCTTGCTGTTCGGAGTACGACGATATGCCAATACTCTCCAAATTCCAAAATTGCTCAATGTCGAATGCTTCGCGATGCTCCAGAATATTTAAAACGCACCTTGATTCGCCTTGACCTTCCCCATAATGACCTTGTATTGTCCAACCGAAGAAAGTTTCTACTGCGACTAAGTTTCCTGCTAATAGTTCACGATTATTGTTATTAAATTTCCAGTAGTTGTCTTGACCAATCAGTAAATTAATGCCTGGAATTAGCTTTTCTTGGGCTACAATGCTTTCAGCCATATTTTTGTTTGATTGTTTATTTAAACGCGGCACAGGCAATACATCTTCGCATATGTTCGGCACTATAGTTGCATAAATCTCCACGGTTTCATCCGAGTACTGACTCTTTACATTAATAATTGTGCGTTTGAATTGTGTGGCCCGTGATTGTTTACCAGTTTGGCCGAATGCGACGATTCTAGTTCTTTCCGTACCTACGACCGGCAACTTTAAATGTTTTGCTAAACGTTCCGTCACGTAGGTGCATTGGCTCCCGTTATCCATTATAATCCGGGACAACACCTTTATTTCACCACTTATAAGAACCGCCTTGGCTGTTTGTAAATAAATCTCATTGTTTACGCGATGCACCATTGTACTGAGTGTCGCCGTCTCTGTGTGTTGTTCTTGTTCACCGCCTTGTTTCTGATTTGCCTTGCCATCGCACATAGCTGTAATGTGCCGCCCGCTACAAATTGAACATTTTAAATGCTGATTTTTACAAAATCTTGCCGTATGATTTGGTTTAGCGCACCTGAAACAGCTTCCCTTACTACGCAATATCTTTTTTCGCAACTCAATGCCTACTGTCTTATCTTTACACTCCTTTGTGTCGTGATTCGTACGTTTGCAAAATATGCATTGTTTTTGTTTCGCTTGTTCGACAGCATATAGCCCTACTGCCGTCGCATTGCCAGCTGCTCGCGTGATTTTGGTTTCCTTGCCGTCTCGTTCTCTCTTATCCCTATTTCCAACTTAGCGACTGTACTTACAGCTCGGTCATCATATTCAATAATTACGTCATAATCTCTTTCCTTTTCATCTTCGCCAAATGGCGCTGACAAAGCTTGCTCATCTGCACATTTTAGGTTTGCGTGTGCGTTTTTTAGTCGTTGCACGTACACGCTCAAGCCCTCCTCAGTGACATCCTCGGCCACCTTGAGGTATTTGTCGATATTATTACACAACTTGGTTAGTTGTGTTCTGCATGTGGATCTATAAGCGGGATCCATCTTTTTGATTATATATTTAATCAACGCCTTGAGTAACTGAAACACGCCCGTTAGTTATTCTTCTTGATTATATATGTCTAATCAACCTCATTAATTTTAGAATAACGACAGACACTTCGTTCCCGGGTTTCGGCACCATGTAAAAAATATATTACTGTTTTATGCCCGGAACTCAAATAAGAGCGACTGTATGCTGCGTGTGTTCCTTTATTACTAGTTTTATATGTACAATGGATATATGTATTAGTTATTATTCGTGTGTATGAGTATAAGAGTAAGGTTTACAAGGTAGAACGTTTGAAATGAAACGATTAGTTCTTGTGTGCTTATTTTAGGGTATTTTGTTAGTAAATTTTCACACATACCTTGGTGTCCATTTGGGTAGACGGCTTACTTGGCGCAAACACATCGAAGCGAAGAGAGATCAACTGAAACTAAAAGCTATTAATCTACATTGGCTTATAAACGTCCGTTCACCACTAAAACTGGAGTACAAAGTACTCTTGTAGAATGCAGTTCTCAAACCAATTTGGACATATGGCTCTGAGCTATGGGGAAACGCTTAGTAATTTAGAGTTAATCGAGAGAGCTCAATCGAAAATACTGAGAACCATCACTGGGTCACCCAGGTACATACGGAGTGGAAGTATACGGAAAGATTTAAATGTGGGATCTGTTAAAGACGAAATCGCCAGGGTGAAAGCAAAGTACCAGCTTAACCCTGACCGGAACCATCCAAATAGACTTGCGCAGAATTTAACTTGGCAGACTAGCCATACACGACTCCAGCGAAGAGACTTCCCAACCCAGCAATAACAGTTAGGGCCATAATTCAAATATTTAATTGTAATTAATTAAAGAACTATATTAGATTAAGATTTGACTACTTATCGTAAGTCTCCGAGAGAGAAGATTCGATAAATAAATAAAACTTGAAAAAAAAGTTACAGGTAGCGTCGACAGGTGGAGGACACGAGGAACGACAACTCTGCCACTCAGCTGTAATTTTTAATTGTCATTCAATTTTTGGCGCAACAAATTGATGAGGCGACTGCTGATATGCGCAAGAAGCAGATTGCATATGATTGTGACTCAGCGAGTTGTCGCATTCGTGAAGGTGCAAAAGGAGGTTCTGCTTTAGAGAACATGGACATCAGCACGCAGACGTGAGATCCGATTTTGTTATATGTCAAACTCATACGCTGTATGAACAATCCGTATCGGATACCCGACAACTACAGTCGATCAAGGATTATCTTTCCTTCCTAGAGCACCGCTTTTTGGCATTGGAGGCCATCGGAAAAGAGCAGGACCCGAAAGAGAAACACAAATCGTGCACAGCTGCTACAACTGATGCAGATACAACATGCCCATTTTGCAAACAACGCAACCACCGCATATTTCAATGCGAAAGGTTTCAGTCGATGTCAGACCCACAACGCCTAACCTGGGCACAACAAAAAAGGTTATGCGTTAACTGTTTTGGGACAAAACATAGAACTCAAGAATACCGTTCCCGAGGATGTTTTCAATGCAATAAAAAACACAATACGTTATTGCATCTACAGTTGCATCTACAACCAGGAGCTGCCACCAACCGCCCGGGTCATCGTTCAGAGCCAAAATGGGATCCCTGCCAACCGACATATCGCTGGCAAACCCACATTTTCACAAGCCTGGGAAGATTGACTTGATCCTGGGTGCTGAGCATTATTTCGCATTAATGTGGCCCGAAACTATGCAAGTCGGGACACAGCTGCCGTCACTACAAAACTTCCACCTTGGATGGATTGTAGCTGGAAAGGTTAACATGACATCCAAGGATAGAACAACCTGTTCAGTTCCGAGAAGCCCTAATGATATGCATGGATTAATAAAGCGTTTTGGGAAAGACAAAATCCTAGAAGCCGCCAAGCCACAGCCCACACACACTGAAAAACGGTGTAAAGAACACATCGTCCAGAATCGTCCAAAAGGTATCAAGGGAAGACTAAAGTCACAAATTCCTGAAAACATTTCAGTCGGGGGGAGCCTTGTGCCTTGGGGTATATGGAGAAGGAGCAGAAACGGAAGATATCAGCACCACATCACTGCGCCGGAAAACGAGACAGTCATACTACTAAGCTAAGAGTAGTAGTGGACTCGGCAGCTACAAATAACGGACCAGTTAAAATACCCAAACCATTGGGTCTACAATCAATAGCTACTATTCTGCTAGCAAATATTACAAAGTCAGCCAGATTCTCAATCCTAGCACCACAGTTACATAAATGCTGACCTAACTACTGATCGTCAACATACAATACGTCGCTGTCGTAGCATTTATTACACCTAAGCCACTGCTTTTGTCAGCCGTCTCTGCTACCGCTGTTTTTCGCTGCTGCTGTCCGATACCGCTGATATGGCGGAACTGAGCAACTTCATTTAGATATAAATAGCGTAATTATCTTTAAGCAAATCATTTGTAGAAATATCGAATAAACAATAAAGACATTCGTAGCGAACTCTACGTGTTCTTTGTCACTACAACTCATAGTTCACCTGGTTACAAGTCGGTTGCCGGTTGCGACAATAATACTGTTGCTAGTTTATGTGCTAGCAGCAACAAGCACTCAACTATAAATTAATGTTGGCCAAATTTGCATAAAATAAATTAATATTTTAACGAAAAGTAATATCATGTACATATATCGGTCCTTGGAAATTGGACTACCATATACACATGCATACAAATAAATTAAATATTAAATATCGACATTCTCCTAACTATTCGATTTACAAAGAAAAATTTGTGTATCCATTCACTGTGCATCGTGATCGCTCTGTGACGGGACGAAAAAACCGACACATGCCCATCTCTAGCATCTCAGCTGATCGCATATTTACAAGCGATTTACCGTTTGTGCTAAACAGTTGCGTCAGCTAACAACGCTACAAATGTATTTTGAAGAATGTTATAAGCGTTAAGCTTATTCCGTGAATGTATTCTTACGATTTACAAAAGCAGAAACATGCCTTTTACACTCACAACATTCATATTCAAAAAACACATATGGATAAGTGTTGAACTGAATACATACACTTATATGTATATGTATGTACATGCATATGAGGATAGATAGCGCCTGCATCAACAAATAAGATCTACATATCAGCGTTGCCAGACGTCCGAATTTTGGACGTCCCGATTTGTAAATCGAAATGAAATGACGCGCGCGGGACAGGCTCAGTCCCGCTTTTCGGGAATAACTCGACCATGCGTGCAGCGTGCTGAGGAATTTCGGACGAGTTGCACTTATAAGTGAGGACTGTATGTTAAATTTTACAGTGTTTAATTCTAGAAACTACTGGCCCTCAATGTCACAATCTATATATTTATGCATATGTACATATATATCTATTTAATGTAAATACATGTTTATGTATGTACATATGTACATACATATATGTATATAAAATAGTTTGTATTTTTTGTATTGGGGCTTTATTGGTGCACGAAATAAATTGTATGAATTTATGTAAATATCTATGTGTGCATGTAAGTATGTGCAATCAACGCACAGCCCAAATAGTAAGCGTTAAGAAGCTGTCAAAGTGTGGGTGAGTACCAAGAAGTCGTTTACGAAATTTGGAAATCCGATTAACTTTAGACTTGGTTTTATGTATTTACTCTGAGAAAGAATACAAGACAAACTCCGTTATATTTTTGTAACTTTTCATTAAAGAGTAGAAGAAATAATTATGATATATGTATATACATATGTATGTATGCTCATTCAAATGTTGTGCAGTTGCATAAGTTGACCAATTAACTTTGCCAAATTGTACAGCTTTTAATTCTAGAGATTACTTGCCTTGATGTATCGATATCATCTCTATATATATAAAACAGTCCTGACTGACTGACAACGTACAGCCCAAACGGTAAAAGCTAGGAAGCTGAAATTTGGACTCAAGTATCCTTTCATAGTGTAGGTGCCCTAAGAAGGGATTTTGGAAAATTAGAGCTCCAAAGGGGGGAAACGAGCTCCAAAGTTTGTCTGAAAATTCTGCATTTCTACATTTTTTATAATCTATACAAGAATACAAACAAAACTGCATACTCGAAATTTGTGGTGGAGCTTGAATTATCGGGGTTTTAATATTTATTCACCTTTTCAAATGAAAAGTTTGTGTTATAAATTTTTTCCGATCGATTTCAAATTTGGGGACTGTAATCTACGTAACTAGGATGAGAGGACGAAAGATATATCAAATCCCATGATTTGGAAGAACATTCACCTTTTTGAGTCTTTAAAACGCTTCACCAACTTCTGAACAAAATTCTCTGTCTATCTTATATATAAGAGGATATTTGAGGTTATGTCTCAAAACGCTTAGTCAACGGGGCATACATTGCAAAACCCGTGCCCATACGTCTGTTAAGAAGTGCACAGTGTTGCTCTTCACTTGTATATTTCGTTTTGTAGGCAATTAAGGACTCACTCTTGTTACAGAAAAAAGTATAAAAGGCTAAGGTGGGAGAGAGAGAAGGCGCTGCCGTGAACGCACTCTCTGCATTTAGCCCTACTGCAACAGGAAACCGATGAGCAGATCTATTTGCGAGCTTCGGTAGAA